AGAAACATTGTAAATAGGTGAGTTTTGAGAGCAGTTTTAAAGGTCTGGAGTGAAGAGACAACACAGAGATTTTGTGGTAGTTTATTCCAGAGCTTGACAGCGGAAATGCAGATAGCCAGAATTTGGGTAATGCAAGCATATTTTCAGAGCTCGATCTCAACGTATGGGCAGGGACATAGGGGAGAATTCATTCAGAAAGGTAAGAAGGTGCTAAACCATGACGGGCCTTGAAAACTAAAACAAGAATGTTAAACTGAATACGATAGCTGACATACGATGTGGGCAGATTTTTTGGTAAATTAAAAAAAAAAATTAAGGACTTTGTTGGGTAGGCCATAAAACAAGGAGTTACAGTAATCCAGACACAACGTAATAAACGCATGAACAACAGTTTCAGCATCTTTGAAATTTAAAGATGTTTTTAAAAATTAAAAAATTGACATGATGTCACACCAGCAGTCTTTCAGAATGCTCTCAGATGCAAACTGGTATGCATTAGTGATGGTGCTTATGGGGTGTCGCTCTGAGACGGGTGAGTATGAGGCTGGGTGGAAAAAATCACAGTATACTCACTACAAAAAACTAGACTACACCACTGCCTGATACGAAGAGACGTAATCCCCGAAACAGAGCTTCCCACTTGCGCAATACGGAAATATCTGCTAAGTGTGTTACTTATCTTTGTCAACCTGGCAACCATGTGCACGCGCTCTCTCCACTGTGGATAAACGCGCTTGCTTCCTGAAAACACCGGTTAGCTTGCAGTTTAGCGATCTCCACTTCAATATTCTATTATCTCTGTATCGTGATGCGTATCGTATCGTGATTTTGCTGGTGATACACAGCCCTAGTAATGACTGCTGAAAATTCAGCTTTGCCATCACAGGAATAAATTACATTGTAAAATAAATTTAACATAAAACACATTTAAAATTGTAATAATATTTCACAATGTTACTTTTTTGTTATTTGTTTTTGTTTTGATTTAAAAATTCTTTAAAAAAAAAAATCTTACTTACCCTAAACTTCTGAACAGTAGTGTAGTCATTTCCTGTTTGATCCATATTTTAAAAATTGTCACAGAGATGCTAGGAACTGATTACATTTTTTTCTCCCTCACTATATATTTTTGGATATTGAACCACTTTCCTCTCCGAGAGATTTCAAGTCAGTCATTTCGAGTAGCTGTAACTGTCCTGTATGGTCTCATAGGAGAGTTTAGCTTGACCTCAGTATGCCCTTTCGAATAGTTAATGGATGAATGGACTTGTCTCCTTGCTCTCAGGACCCAGCAAAAGTTTTCAAAGGAAAAAAGATGCCAGGCAGGATGGGAAACATTTACGACACCAATCATGGCTTGAAGGTACACTTACCAGAATGCACAAAATGTACTTTTAAATCCTTTAGAAACTGTTTGCATTGAAATATGTTTGTACATTTGCCCTTTTCATTTGTCCCTAAAGCCAAATACATGTTCTGCTGATACTTCTGCTCTGCATTACACTGTGCAGTTTACATGCTGCATTGCATATACTGGATGGCATAAACATTTTGTTGTACGTTTATTATACATCAAAATACACGGTAAGCACAATTTCAAAGCTCAGCTGTAGTATCTTGTGCTCAGGAGACAAAATAATAAACTTTTTGAAATAAATTCTGTTGTAGGAACAAGGTAGATTTATACTTTTAAATCCAGGCATGACCAAGTTGTGTATACAAGGTGTCATACACCAAAATGACAATATTGCAAGACTCACTTGACGGTGAAACACGTGCTTTTGGTTTGTCCAATATTTAATGTCATGAGACAAAGGTTATTATCAGGACAAACTCTTAAGGACTTGTTTTATAAGATGGACCCAGAAAAACTTTTGCAATTTCTTTCAAAAGTACATTTAAAGTATCTTTTATAGAAATGTATTTCATTTATTTATTTATTTATTGTATTTTGTGTTCTACTATATTTTTTTATGTATAATCTTTGCCATGAAATAGCCTGTGATGTGGCAATAAACTTAAATTAAACTGTGCTCCGGAGACACCTACTGTAAAGTCACCCAGTGCCACAGTGAGAAAAATCCATGTTGTATTCATGTATTATTCAGTCAGAAAACCTTCCTCTGCTGCCAGTTTGCACTACAGTTTGGAGTCACCATCATTACCGTGCACACTAGCCTTCATTTTACAACCAAGTTTTAATTTCTCCTTAAAGGGGTCATATGATGCTATTTTAAAGATCATTATTTGGTGTAACAGAATATGTTGACATGCTTTAATGTTCAAAAAACACATTATTTTTCAAATACTGTACATTATTGTAGGTCCTCTATGCCCCGCCTCTCTCAAACACGTCATTTTCAACAAAGCCCCCTCCTTTGACAAGTGCAGTCTGCTCTGATTGGCCAGCTGACCCAGTGCATTGTGATTGGCCGAACACCACAAGCACGCGTCGGAAATGTAACGGCCCTTACCATAATCGCGAGCTTCAGCTTTCAAAGTAAATATCAAGACAGTTAATAATGTTGTTAGTTTTACCATCAGTTCAAGCCCGAAAGGGCAACAGAGTCGTGTGACAGACACAGTGCTGATGCAGTACATAAGCCGCGGTTAAGACAGCTGACGTGCTATGATTTCTGACAGGCAGTTCACTCTCCTGTGATGGGACCCTGTTCCCCTCACACTCCCTCACTCACACACACGACGCGTTACTCTGCGCGGCGCAAAACTCCACATTTGAACAGTCAATAGCAAATACTTAAACTAATAACAAAACATACTTACAGTCGCTGATTCAGAAGCGCCAGATTGTCAAAGCAAAGTCGGAATTGACCCTTTTATTTTTTTTTGTGCACAGCCATCTTTGTACTCTTATAGGTTCAAAAAACTGTTGTCCATAAAATGCGTTGCACAAATTCAAAGAGCTTGTAACACTCCAAAGAGAAAGGAAAAATTGAAATCGCATCATAAGACCCCTTTAACTTCCCATTTACTCTGCTGTTAGTTTTCCCCATCAAAATTCACAACTATCAAGATGGATTTCTTAGATAAGATGTGAATGTTGGCCATTTAGTTGTCTATTCATAACATTTCATGTTTTATGAAATGAGACCCATGAAAACTCTGGTTTGTTCAAGACTATATGTGGGCTATAGCATATCGAGAGTCTGTTAAAGCCAAACTGCTCTTACGATGCGGTCGATCAAGATTTAACCCATATAAATCATCACAAACCCACATTCACACAGATGCCTGACCTAGTAATGTTTTTGTGCTGTCTGCACACATACATAATGCAAAGAGTTTTTTTTAAATCTCTGTACCATCGTCGCATGAGTGAACTCCCTGATGTCAGAACTGAAATAAAAACGGTCTTATCAAGCTTGAGCGGTACTCGCTTGTACTCAATTCACATACACACACACACATATGCGCATACAACCAAACACATTGTTTAACCCGCCGACACCGTGAGGTCTTGATATTCAGGCTCTGCCCCCCCAACCAAGGGACATCTGCGCCCCCGCAGAGTGTTTAGCGGTCTGTGTGTGTGTGTGTGTGTGTGGACCCCAGTGAGAGCGTAATGCCAAACGCCTTGCCAATCTCCCAATCTAATCCTCTGAACACACACACATCCTGTCCCTCCAGATTTCCGCCCCCCAAATTGTTCTTGATCACTCCACCAAACCTCACAGCAGTCACACCCCCTCCTGTAAACACACCTGCTCAGCACAGCACCCCTCCTCTACAACCACACACACACCTCTGCCAGATGTGATTGGAAAGAGATACAAGCCAAAGAGACACGCTTGTGTCCATGTGTGTCAAGAGTAGAAACCACTGAGGAGGTCATCAACAGTGAGTCCATTTGAGTTGTATTTCTTACTGTTAAACTACATTTAAGTTGTTTTTCTCTCAAATTTGACTTGTGACCTCCTGCGGGTCCCTGGATCTAATTGAATCAAGTCAATTCAGTCATATTAAATTATATATTTTAAGACAATCATTTGTCTGAAATCCTTTCTTTCATCTCATTTGATGTATGTACATTGTGTGAAGAAGGTGACCTTTGAAAGCAGCTTCTCTGGAGCTGACCTTGTCGTGGGTGAGTGTGAGTGGTTTTTCAGAAGTGTCCTGGCACCATGCTGTCACACACACACACACACATTCAGATCATTATACACTCCCATATAACTCAGTAACCCATCATTTTCTTCCATCCAAGAAACGCATTATAAACTACAATTTGCATAGCAAACCAAAATCCACATATAATTAAATAACACTCTGTGAATGACAGAGGGAAAGAAAGGTCTGGAAGGAAGGGTGGGGGTTTAATGCAGCGCTGCCTGCCACCTCAAACCAAGAGAAGTCCTGTGGCCGGCGCTTTCTGTGTTACCCAACATGCACTGCTCTCTGCTTAGGCACATTAGCATCTATTAATATTAAAGAATGTGTTTTCCCCGACAAACCAGCACACATTACAATGTACAATCATCCAATAATCATGAGCAGAGAGTCATGATTCCCTATGGCCTTTCCCTGTGTACTGCCTTATGTACCTGTATCTTGATCTATGGAGCTTGTCATGTTGTTTCATCGCCATCATTATCTGCTGTCTGATCAGACTGTTTATCTACAGTCAGAAGAGACTAACATAATGCTAATGAGAAAACATTTTAGAGACCTATAGAGGAAAGGAAGAGAACATTTTCTATAGTGCACCTTTCAAATTTGACACATTTAGCATTTTTAAACTAACATTTTAAAATATCCTTCTACCAGCTTTTTATAAAAAGGATCGGTATCTGGGAGAGTACTGTTTATCAACAGCACACAAAATATTACACACAGACATTCCAAATGTTATATTTGTCGTTTTGTTTTCATTGTGAGAATGTTCTTAACTTCATAAATCGCTGTTATGGCTGATTATAATTAAGCCTAATCAAAACACTGACGAAAACTGATGCACTGCTGCCACCTAGTGGATAGAAATCAGCATGAAAATGGGTAAAGATTCAAGAGCTTTATTGTTATATGTAGCTACTAGCTTCTTACTTTGTTTGCTCCTCACGAGAATGACAGGGTAGACGGGGAACGAACATAACTTACTAGGGCAATACAAATTACATAAAAAATATAGAATATACAGTAAAGTATAAACCAGAAAAAATAAATAAATAGCAATAGCATAAAAAAGAAAGTAATGAAATAAAAAGAAAAAGAGAACCTAAATTCAAACGAGAAAAACAATTGACAATAAAAATTCTTCACAGTATAAAGATGCAACACGAGGGTAAAACAATAATAAACTTAAATAAAAAACACTTAATGCGTCAATTCAATGAACAAGAATTGCAGGACAATATGAATGAGTACTAGTATAATAATCTCGTTTACCTAAGTATATTATGAAATCATGTCACCTGTTCTATTTTTATTTAAGCGATATTAAAAGAGCTTACTTTTTAAAGACTAAGATTTATTTAAGATTTTACTATTTATTTCTTTGAGACTGGGTAATTTCTGGAGAGCCCAAATCAATATTGTAATGTTTTGGTTATTATTTAAAGTTTTTTTTGTTTGTTTGTTTGAGTATTTTCCACAAAATGAGTAAGTGTTATCAACATATTTGGAGACAAACAAGGTAATAAAGTTAATCTAAATCGCTTATTAATGGTGACGCACTTCCGGGGACGTATTTGTTGTGAAGAAGAGTCAAAGATGGGCGCGTGAGGCGGATCGGGACGTCAAGTTTTCTGATCAAATCGATACCTAATTACTTTCGTCTTTTTAGAGAAATAAAACACAGATTGTATGAAACCACCGAGAACTTGTGTTTAGTTGAAATAGTATTTCGTGGTGGCAAAATGGAGGCCGTTCCCAGGATGCCGATGATTTGGCTGGAGCTGAAGGAAGCAGGAGAGTTTCAGTTCGGTCCCACCGTCAGACAGGTGAGACGCTCCGCGGCCCGTTAATCCAGCCGTTACACAACCGTGACCAGTGATCCGCTCCAGAGAGGTCTCGTCCTGTTGTGCACCACACTTTGAGCTCTCAAGCTATTAAAATGACTAATATGTCCGTGTTGTGATTTAAGGAAGCGTTTCTGTACACGTACACAGAAGTATGGGTATTATATATATATATATATATATTTTTTTTTTTCAGTCATTCTTGAGAAGTGGGACAAAACAGGGTGCAAAATTTAAGAAATAAAACCTTGTACTCAGACAAATGAAACTACATTTATGTATCTTATATGTACTGAGCTATGCTTTGCTACAACTTTTTTTTAACAAAATGTGCTTTTTTTACCTTGGACTGTGTAATATAATTTCAGCTTTATATTTAACAGCATTCAAGATGTTTTTAACATTTCAAAACACATTCTCGTGTTAGCAGACAGATTACACTTTCACATGTGACCAACAATTCCACAACACACATAAAATATCATAAGGAAATATTATCAAAATATTCAACTGACGGAGGTGACGAAAACCTGAATTTGTAGTCATTTTAACTATCAAATACATTGAATCAGTCAATTACTGTATTAAAACAAACAGTTAGTATGTTATTGTTTATAAAGCTTTTATTCAAGAGTCACATTTAAGTATTTTGATATATCATTGGAACACCAAATCTTTTGGTGACATCTGACGGTGTTGACAAATTTGGCATTTCTTTCACAAAACCAATGGAGTTCATGTAGTAGCCATTTTATTTTTTTCTGTTGATGCTAGAAGCTAATGGAACCTGCTTCAGGAGAATACAATTGTCTAAATATTTCAAATAATTTCCTCAGAAATTGGAAGATGGTGTTGACATATCATGGCTGTGACAAAGGAAATATTAACATTAGGATTTAAAATATTCTAAAACTAAAACTTAGCACAGTCTGTCTGACACTGATATACAGGTTCTCTCAATAAATTAGAATGTCGTGGAAAAGAGATATTAAGTGTTGCTTTTGATAAAACAAGCTCTTTTTCATCATTAAAAAAACATTTGTATCCATTTTATTGCATATGAATGATTGAACCCTTCTCTGTGGACACACTGTTTTAGATGTAGTGAGAGGACATTACGAAACACAGATTTGGTATAATAATGAGAAAATTTAATTGAAGGTGATAATTGTGTTAAATACATTCTATTATTAATCCCTCATGACATTTAAAATTGAAAATATTTTTATTTTTAAACCTAATAGCAGTTACCCTTGCTGGACCTGTTTTGTCCCATGTCTCAAGAATGACATATGTCCTCCTGAGAACCAGAAATAAAAAGCTTTGTGAATTTAGTATTTTTTCATGTCATTACATTGTTTAGAGCATAAGAAAAAAATGGTAAAATAACATTTTTGAAAAATTATATTTTATTCATAAGTTATGCTATGTCCTCTGTAGAGGACACCAGGACTCAGTTTTTCTAAAAAATAAAAGTTTTTCTGCTTTTAGTCCTGGTGTCCTCTACAGTGGACATGTATGAAATAATGTCCTGTTTCATAACAGGAAGTCATATTTTGATTTGAAACCCCATAACATTTTCCTGAGATGTTGATTTATGACAAACAATTAGAAAATTAATCAGATTTAAATTATAATTACAAAATATTATCATATTTCCATAAGGATGTATAATTTTATCACTAAATTTAATGTCAGCCATTTTTAAAAACCAAGGAGAGGGAGTGGTCATGGTGCCTGTGACATGTGAGGTCTCAGAGAAATTCACTAAAATATAATGTCCTCTACAGAGGCAAAAACTCCATAGCTGGGTCTCAGGAGGATATGTATATATTTACAAAAAGTTAACAGGATTGAAAGAGATTTAAAAAGCTATAAAATGCCACTTATACCACTTAAGATGGTATTCTCAAGAAAACATTTTGTTTAAAGTGAACAATAAAGAAACATCTGGAATTCTGCGCAATAACTCCGTTTTATGTGTTCATAAAGTATTTAATATGATTTAAGATGTAATCTCAGTATATGCACTGTATAACAGTTATGACTCAGATCTGTATTGCCATCTTTTGCATGGAGCTGCCATTTTTAACAAATGTTTTCAAGGGTTATATTACTGATGATAGATCCCTTTAACAGCAGTTATTATGTTATGAAATGGATATTTTCTCATGGTCTTTGTGCTTGTAAGCATATGGCTTGTGTAACCTGGTCATTTGAAAACCAAATGACCTCCCTCACATTTGCTAGCTTTACTTTGACACATTTGCATTGAGCCAACACTAGGATGTTGTCTGATGGTGATGTTTTATATTGTATATGATGGTAAGAAAAAGATGACAGCATGCTTTTTCCTCTCTTTTGTCCCAGTACATTCAAATAAACTATGGTGAGAACCCCGAGAACTACATCGAGGCGATGAAGAAGCTGGAGCAACTTAGACAGGTCGGTTAGTGGTCTCATCAGTGGAATTGTGGGAAATGTAATTGCACACTGGCATATCGTTGCAGTTAGCAAGCAATTTAATACGGTTGATGAATATTGCATTGAAAATCTCTCTCATTCTCAGAGTGTGGTAAACATCCCGAGGGATTTTGAGGGCTGCAACACTCTTAGAAAATACTGTGGTCAGCTGCACTTTCTGCAGAGTCGTGTTCTCATGGCAACCGGCCAGGAGGCTGCAGTGCCTGTGACATGGTAAAATGTTGCAATCGGTGCTCATTTTGATATGAGACCATACTTGCTACCGTTGATATGCAAGATGTTTGGTGGTCATGTCATTATAACTTTCCTGCTTGCAGGACTGATGCCTTTTCAGGGAGGAATATCACACATGAGGATATTAATTATGAACAGGCTTGTGTCCTGTATAACCTGGGTGAGTTAAATGCAATCAAAGCATTAGCACAGAAAAGCATCACTGTATTTGTTTTGCCTGTTAACTCATCAACAGTCCCTCTAATGTATTTTAGGTGCATTGCACTCACTGCTGGGAGCTGTGGATAACCGCCTATCTGAGGAGGTGAAAATACACATTTACACCTTCACATTTGCAATTAAGAAATGAACAGGCAGATAAAGCTGCTAAAGCACTACAGTTGAAAATGACAGGATATCAAATACCGACATCTGATGTTAAAACCATACCGAGTTATGTAGTTTAAAAAAATGGCAAATGGACTGGAATTAATATATCCATAACAAACTATATGAAGTGAATCCAGTTATAAATAAAATATCTAGCCGCTGGTTTTACTTTGAAAATAGAAATAAGTAGTAATAACCCATGTAAAGTCTCCCTTGACTGTAAAACATATTTTATTAGAATGTCCTGCTTTAAATGATACTAGAAAACATTTTACTCAAAGTACATTAATGGGCATTTTAAATAAAATATTAGAATTTTTATCAAATGTAGGGCTGCACAATTAATCAAATTTCTAATAGCGATTACAATTATGGATGCCACAATTACGTAATAGTTCAAAGCGGCAATTAATCGTTCAAAGTCCACTTATGTTATTCTGCGTGCTTAAGATGCGTTTTTTTCTTTCTACATGTTATTTTAATTTTAGTTTTAAAATTACTAAAATTTAAAATTAAAATTACCACTAAAGGTTTTTCAGTTAGAGTGTTTTCAGCTTGTTTATTTTCATATAAAAATACAGCATGCAGTTGCATCAAACAATGGTATAAACATCATTCAATGTAAAATGATAATCGTAATTAATAATCGCAATTATAATTTCAAGGGAGTAATCGACAATTATGATTTTGGTCATAATCGTGCAGCCCTAATCAAATGTCAGTTGAATGATTGTATATAATTGTTATTTTTCTTTCTTTATTTACTTTTGTTTCTTTGTAAAAAATTATATTCTTAAAATATTGTAAATAGTTCTTTGGAGTATTTTAAATCTTATTATTACCGAGTTTAGCCATGAATATAGCCTTTAATGTATGGCAAAAAAAATGGATAGACAAATAAATTAGCAATTGGGAAACATACATTTTTTTTTTTGAATTTTTCATGCTAACCATTTGCTCCTTTTTTGTGCTTGCATGTTGGTGTCTTAAGGGGATGAAAATGTCCTGTACGCATTTCCAGTGTTCTGCCGGGGCTTTCACTCACCTCAGAGACCACTTTAATCACAGCTACAGCTCTGACATGAGCAGCCAGGCACTCTCAATCAACATCAGCCTCATGCTGGTAAACACAAAGTCTACCACACAAATGCTGCGTTTTAATTTCCAACTTCTTGCTTAGGAAAATCCACTTGATTCGGGCAACCTCTATACCCTTTTTATCTTTCTCTCTGAAGGCCCAGGCTCAAGAGTGTCTCCTGGAGAAAACTTTACTAGACAACAGAAAGAGTCATTTAATAGCAAAGATTTGTGCTCAGGTAAGAAGTTCATAAGCTTGTCTATGAGGATAACCGCAGGTCTTTGATTTACAGAGCTCTTGTCACTCACTTGCCATTATCAACACTAAGGTTAAGTCTGATTGCAGGTGTGTGATTATTATAAGAATTGTCTGAGGGTGTTGGATAATTCTGAATGTGTGCCAGGAAGGATTCAGAAAGAGTGGAGAAAGCTCATCAGCATGAAGATCAGCTACTTCAGTGCTATCACACATGTGAGACCTCTACACTCACCATGCAGTTAAAATCAGTGCATTTTCATAAACTTGTTGGTTATTTTCATAAACCACACATCATTTTATTTTCATTAGTTACACATGGGAAAGCAGTCAGAGGAACAGCAGAAATATGGAGAAGCAGTAAGTATATGCTTGTGGGTGTTCATTTTGTCGTTATAATTTTTGATTTAACATTTGTTAAGTAATAGTTTTGTTTATGTTTCACTGTCTGAAATATGACTTTATAAAAACATTACTTGCTGTAACGTTTAAAAGAGGTCTTCAACGTCATCTCTGTAGAATATGAGAGTAATATCCTCTGATAGCAGTGTGATGCCATCTGTTGTTTCTCCACAGGTCGCTTACTTTCATTCCTCTCTGGACAAACTTAATGAGGCAATTAAGCAGAGCAAGGTAAAGATACTCAAACGCACGCACACAGATAAACACAACCCGATTGTTTATTAAGCTCATTTACATATTTACTCATTGACCTTTTCAGGGCCAACTGGAATCTGTACAGGAAGCTTTGAAATTCACAATGGATGTGATTGGTGGAAAGTAAGACTTTGAATATATTATTATTATTAATATATTATTATTATTATTCTATTATTGTTATATGTTTTCATTTGGAGAATCTAATACCCAGTTCACATTTGAGTCTTAAAAAGTGTTAAGGTTATGCTGTTGTGTGTAGACACTCAACAACAAGAATGCAAGAGAAATGTGTGTGAGTGAGTGAGTGTGTGTGTGTAATTTTCACTGGACTTGTATTTATAATTTTCACTGGACTTTTTTTCTGTTTCAGATATAACTCCTCTAAGAAAGAAAATGACTTCATTTACCATGAGTCTGTGCCTGGTCTGGACACGTTGGCTGCAGTAAAAGGTATACTAACAGCTCACAGATCTCTTTTAAAATTATAATAAATTATTATTATAATAAAATATAATACATTTAAAAATAATTTTGTTCATGTTTGCTTCCTTTGGTACTTATAACATCTGGCACGCAGGTGCATCATTGGTGAAACCCCTGCCTGTGAGCCTAACTGATCAAAGTGTCACTGGTCCTGACCTCTTCTCTAAACTTGTCCCCATGGCAACTCATGAGGCCTCATCCCTTTACAGGTCAGCTGGTGCATCAGTAACATGCTTTACTAATAAATGTTTAAACATTTAAAAGTCTATGTAGAAAGTTTTGTAACCGTTATTTCTTTCTCTCTCTCTCTCTCTCTCTCTTAGTGAGGAGAAGGCGAAGTTACTTAGGGACATTGTGGCTAAAATAGAGGATAAAAACCAAATCCTTGAGTAAGTTACTCAAAAACAAATACTTACCTAAAAAAGGATGTTCTGTCATGGTATACTCACCCTTAAAAAAAAAAAAGCCATCCAGGTTTCCAGGAATAATAAGCAAGTAATGACAGAATTTCCTATTTTTGGTGAATTGACCTCTAAGCAAATCTACTCTGTGTATCTATAGGCTTGTGCAGTAGCTGAAATATTTTCCTCTTTTCTCTTCTTTTCTGTGCAGGAAATTTATGGAGTCTCTAAGCAATGACTCTGTGTATAAAATAGACATGTTTAAATCTCTGCCCGACGCTCTGTTGGAAAAATGTGCATTTCTCAGTGTACGACCGGACACTGTCAAAAACCTTGTTCAGGCCATGCAAGGTGAGAGTAGACCCACACACAAAATTTGGAAAACATTCCATTTGTGATAATGTGCAATCTGTCATTTTGCAGTACATTTCTTTTTTTTAATCAGTCAGTTCAACATTAAAACAAAAATTCTATGATTGTAAACTGTTGTGTCTATGATAATTCTGAACAAATACCCAACAAATGCCTATTATGTGCTATCATTGTTAGATTTTTTTTTTATGTATTTGATGAAATCCAATTATGTGTGTGTTGCAGCACTATCTAATGTTTATACTGATGTGGGTTCATCTCTGGACGAGGCCCGTAGTGCTCTTGAGGAAGATGAGGCTGGGGAGAAGAGTTTGATGGAGGTAGTGGGGCAGAAGGGATTGCCGACGAGGCCTGCAGTCTTTCAGGATATCCAAAAAGAGCTGAAGAAATATGAGGCTGCTCATCAGGCAGCCATCAACACCAACACTGAGCTCCACAAAGCCATGAACCAGCACATACCAAACATACGTCTGTTACAGGGATCTGTTGAGGAACTCAGAAAGAGCCTGCCCCAGCCAGAACTCAGTCAAGGTAAAAGTGTTTCTTGCCTTATGCACTTGTGTATGCATTTAGAAGGAGGAAAGATATATAGAAGTAATCTGTTGTGAGTTAATTCAAAAGTTGTTAAAGATTCTTTCCTTTCCTCTAAGATGAAATGTCGTCCCTGCAAAAAATTAAGACAGTTCTTGGCAAAGTTGATGAAATGCGAAAGCAGAGGATTTCGTTGGAGAGCCAGCTTCGTGACCTTATTCATAAAGATGACATCACTGGAGTCCTTGTAACCACAGATCGTGCTGAGATCAAGGTTAATGAACTACTGAAATTGCTCAAAATGAAACCAAACAAAACAGCAGATCAACACAAAGAGATAAAGAAAAAGCAGGACAAATGACCAGTCAACAATTTAAAATCTCTGTTATATCTCTTTCCTTCTCTATTTTCTTTCAGACATTGTTTGCGGAGCAGTTGAAGAAATATGATCAGCTGAAGGTATATATAGATCAGAACTTGGTTGCCCAAGATAACATCCTGAAAGCCTTAACAGAAGCCAATGTGCAGTACGCCCCTGTCCGCAAGACACTCACGCTCACAGAGCAACAGTATGTGTTTGTGTATTTTCAAATCTCAGTCAAAAGACTCACATTTCAAATGTTAGTATCTGTTATTGTGGCATTGTATGTAATCATCTCATTTTGTCATGAAGATGGAACAGCACTGTGCAGGCTCTGATTGCCTCATTTGAGGCATATGAGGACTTGTTGAAGAAGGCTGAGGAGGGCAGAGACTTTTACCAGGATCTGGACAAGAAGACCTCCGCCTTGTTGGACAAAACAAAGTCCTATTGCCAAATCAGAGAGGGGGAGCGAGTTGCCCTGCTGGAAAAGTAAGTTGTCTCAGGTGGAAGGATATGATATTTTGGGTGGATTTTGTATGTGATGATATGACTTGCAGTAGACAAGATTCAGATTTTAGTAAATCATCATTGTAGGTAGCCTCTATTTAGATTGAATCTGCAACCTACGTATCGGCTCAAATCATTCATTAGTAGACTATTACCACTCAATACTAAAGATATTCCATGTCAAATTCCTTCCATTTTTCTCACTACATGCTTGTCTGACATACTACCTGCAGGGAGATCGGAAAAGGGCCACCTCCTAGACCTGCCGCCCGAAAGCCTGTGGTCGGCCAGAAAGTTGTTGGTCATATGTCCGGCCCTTCCAGTCTTGAATCTATAGGTCCTTCTGTTGCTTCTTTTGAAGATCTTCCACAAGAACTACGAAGCCTCCCTCCAAATCTGAATTTGCCCCGAGGTTCAGTACTTTACAATCCTGTTCCTCATGGTGGAACCCCTGTTAGCTGGCCACAAGGGGCAAGCCCTTTTCCGACAACTCAGTTTCCAAACCCGCAGTTACCCACTACAGATCCAAAGCTCAGGCAGTTGGCCAACCATCTCCCACTGGCACCTTATGGCCAGGCCTCCCCACAGGTGCCTGCTCAAGGGTACAATCCAGCTCTCTGGCAGCAAGCTCACGGTGGTCCAATTGCTGTTACAGGGGGTTATTCTGTGCCTCCACAAATGGGACAAATTCCCCAAAATTTAATTAGGCCTGGTTTACCAGGACGACCGCAAGTATCCTTGCCAAACTCTTTTGGGCAGCAGATGTCAACTGGCATGCCTCAGTCTTCCTCTGTCCAGCAGGTCATACAGGGAGCACAGTGCCAAAGATTTACAACCCAGCCTAGACAAAGCATCCCCTCAACCACACCAATAAGTGCATTTCCTGGGCAAATCCTTCCACCCTTTCCACCTGGGCAAGTCCAGCCTCCAATGCCAGGCCAAGCACAGCAACAGTCTGGCCTTCCTTCAGATTACCGACCAGCATTACTTCCACATACCCAACCCCAGCTTGGTCCACCAGGCCAACTGACAGTGCCCCATCCACAGGGTGCCCTCATTCCAGGGCAAGCTCAGCCTCAGTCCACTCTTTCCAATCAGTTCCACCCCGGACAACTTCCACAAAACAGGCCTCAGCCTTACATGGGTTATGCTGCCACATCTTTTCCGTCTTCCCAACTGCAACAAATTCCTGCGCCCCACCAAGTACATCCAGGGTCCCAAGTTTTTCCACATGCACCCTTGAGCCAAAATTCCCAAGTTCCTTTTGGTCCTCGTCAGCCCCAAATGCAAGGAGCTGTACCACCACAAAGCAATGTGTATTCATTTGCACCAACACACATGAGCCAACAACCTACGGGCCAACAGATCATTCCATCTCAATTCAACACCATGTTTAATGGACCCGGGGGACAACCCATGTACATTTCTGGTCAAAGCCAAATACTTGGCCCTCAAAATGTGGCTCACTCATCATCTGGACAAGCAGTTGCCCCAGTGATGGACAATCCAGTTCCACCTTCACTTGGCAGCACCCTAATACCGACTCCATCTCCTGTTCAGGTTTCATCCCAGAACCAGATCTCCACTCCTAGACCTGATCTGCCGTCCTCTTCTTTAGTGAGTCAGAATTTAGAGCCACAAACCACATCAAGTGCTGTGTCGACTGACAAGATAAGTTCTGACTCCACTATGAGTCTGGATTCTATTCAGAACAAGGTGGATAATCTCAGCATTTAGTCCCAAACCGATTCCCATACAAACAAATGTGAATATGCAGTCAATGGTAGACAGGATACCATGTAGACCACAATTTAAAATGACAACAGTCAACAGGGGGTGCCAAAAAAAGATGATCTTGGTGATTTGGATCCTTTATGGCCACAACACAGGATCTGATGCCTGAACACACGCTAATACTTGCTTTTTTTACATGACCAGTACTAACACAAAATTGCACTGTACTCTCTGTACCTGTAATTACACACTATGGCTTTGCAAATGTACTACAAGCAAATAGAAAAATTATTTTGCATTGTAATTCTATGCAGTCCTCTAATATTGTGTACAGTTTCACTCTATGTATTTCTATTCTTAAATAGCACTTTAGTTTGCACTGTAGTGAGAATGATGACAACAGTGATGATGAGTAAGAGGTGATTATGGTTCTTTATGTTAGGATGTCTTTTCCACTGTTTCAAAAACGTTTTGATACAAATGCTCTTCTAGTTCTTACATATAATTTTCTAAAGTATAAATAAAGCTTTATTTTAGCTCTGTATACATAACATAAAATTGTAATAATAAAAAAGGGACAACTGTGTTTTGACCGAAGACTAGCAGCACTGTCTGATGTGGAGATGTTGCTTCTGTTTAAAATTCAAAATTAAAGTAGTTGAAACTTCAAAATGCGTTTACACGTCTACCTTTATGGAAAATTGTTATCAGCTCCACGCACCTGGTCTTGTAACGCTTGGTAAAACGGTATAGGGAACATCTGTGAACAATCTTCAGGTCTCTCCCCATTGCAGTGGCATTCAAGCCAGTACTTTGGGTTTGTTCCCCATGTCACACCAGTGTTGTTTTTAGGGTCCTTCTTGTGAATGGTGAATTTTCACTAGTCTGAGGCTCTGTCCTCTAGAGCAGATTCCTCCTGCAAGTTTTGTGGTATGTATTCCTATTAATACAGCATACAAAATATAACCAATATAACAGATTATAGAGTATCATACAATAAACAGGCTGTTGTGTGCTAATGCACCATTGTTAAATACACCACTTCCCTAATATGGCCATATGATGGCAGTGTCTGGTTGTGTTCCGATGTAGGACTGTCTATTATGAGTGTGTTGTTATGTGTCCCTTTTTCTGCATGGGTTACTGGAGTTGTCTAGAATTAAATCAATGTGCTTCATTTGCTTCAGGCACAAAAAAACTGAATTACTACACGTACATTTTGCAGTAAATATCTGTAAATAAAACGGGGATGCTCATATTTAGTCAGGTCTTTTGGAGAGACTATTTAAGTCTATTACACATTTTTTTCCTCTCTCAAACTGTATTCATAAATGGGTCATAAAGAGGATGATTAGGATAGGTCACAAAGTGCACACTGCGTAATGAGTAGTCGCTGGAATCTAGTATTGATGTATCTTGTTGCATGTCAACATGAAAATGGCAAACATAATACATGCACAATATGTTTGTTGCTAGTCAGAAATCTTTTTGTATTAGTAGTGAACTCAAGAGCCTTTTACTCTTCCGAGACAGTCTTTTATTTAAGCAGTCTATGCACGCCAGCCCTTGCTTTTGACTTGCTTTGATGAAGTGAACGCTGGGAGAGCAACTGACCCAGTTTTTCTTCATAAGATGGTTTTGGCTTGAGCAGAATAACACTCTACATTGAAGGGGGGGGGGGACTGGAGAGAAAAAAATGTTCTTTGGAAGAGAAAAAAGTTTTTTGTGAGAGAGAAGTTTTTCAGGAGAGAAAAATTGTAGAGAGAAAAAATATAGAAAAAACATTCTCAGGACTAGGCTCAGGAAAGATCCAAGTGACATTTCCCATTTTTTCTACATTGATTTTCTTTTTTCTTCTTCCCACATTTGGGATCAGGGCTTTGCTAGAAATTAGCAACCTCAACTTAATTTGTTTTATTTTCATTTAAAAAATGACCAAATTTTTGTCCAAGGAACCAACAATAAACAATGTCAGATCTAAACAATTCTAAAATTCTTTATTCTCAGTGAAAGTATTAATCTAACATTAAAAACACAAAAAGCACCTTGTTAATAATAATAATCATCAAGTTTGTTTGCCCTGAATGTTTACAGGTTCCATCATTTTTGTGAATGCATGTGTATGAATATGAATGTGCTGTTTGACAAAATACAACATAAAACATGGCACCATAACACATATGACATCCATGTTTGTCTGTAACACCAAATTAACAGTTTCTCGACTTATTTTCCCTTTATACTCATGTTGCGCAACAATGCTAATTCATCTCACCATTTATCATCTACTAACCTTTATTGTGCTGCTGAGTGATTTTGTTTCGGTAAAGGCCAATGCTTTTAAACTGCATCCCAATTCATGTCTTGTTCATCCACAAGACTTTCACTCATTACCAATCAGTGTCTTAAATTTCTCACGGTGGAGTCTCATGTAGGATAAATTTGCCATTTGTTTTGTTGTACATTACTCATGTTAAGGTGTGTAGGCCGTGCCCAGGTGAGGGCTGGATGAGCCGGACAGGACTCCCGGTAGGGAACGCGTGCTAATGGGGCTGTAGCTGGGTTCGGAGCTGCGTCTGGGGCAGAGCTGGGACAGAGGCCTCCCCTGTACAGATCTGCCAGGAGGCTGGCGCAGCACAGGGGACTTTTTAGGGGATTTGGGGAGCTTGTAGAGAAAGACGTTGTAGTGCAGTGGGGGGCTTGTCTCTGGGAGTATTTTCGCCTCTTTGGGGAGAAGCAACTCTAAGTCGATGGTCACACCACCCTGGACACACACACACATAACAAAGGCACAGTGCACAAGCATAACAACACAAACAGGAATAAAAAAAGCACATACAGTACAACACAGATTGACAAACCCATTCATAAAGAAAAGGCAAGAAAGTATAAAGAATTTAAATTGCATAAATTGTTGATGATAACTCCATTCAGCACCAAAAAATTATTTAAATTAAGAGTGAATAGAGAAAACCATTAGGTCATTGTTTTGTGAACTTTATCGAGTGATTTGAGTGTTGACACCAACCTGGCACAAACTACGAGCGGTGAATGAGGTGAGCATGAGCAAGTAATCAGCTTGTAGGAATTGATCTCTTATTATCAAGTATACGTAAGCTGGAGTAAACAAAGGATTGTACTTCATTTGCGCTCTGTATTAAGTAGAGGGCAAGGTTAATCTTTTCAAGGCCTTTGTAATACCTTATTTCCCGCTGTCAAATTTACTAGACTGAGTGCCCGCTAGTTCTGATCTGGTATGCTCATAATTGCTATGCAAACATCTGGTATTAGTCACCAAATGAAATTTAAATGTTTAATTCTTACATCAGTAATTCAATTCTTTAACAGATTCGATTCAAAAGCTCAGTTTCTGCTCTTTGGATAAACTTTCAGAGGAAAGCAGCTTTTCAAACTTCAGGTGTTGCACTTAGGTGGGAAACTTAGGTACTACTGTAGCGTCATCTCATTTTGGCAGTTTATGGACAGAATTCTTATGCTAATTTATGAGTAAATCTATCGAGTGATGCAAGACTCAACAAGCAACTAAGCACATCAAAGCTAAGTTAAAGTTCTTCTATATTCACATTCAAAGGTTTGGCATCAGTAAGATTTTTTATGTTTTTGAAAGTGTTAAACTTAGCAAGGCTGCATTTATTTGATCCAAAATATAGTACAAAAAGTAATATTGTGAATTATTAGTACAATTTAAAATAACATCTTTTCCATTTTTAACATTTTACACAAATTAATTTAGCTGAATTTTCAGCAGACATTACTCCAGTCTTCAGCGTCACATTCTCCTTCAGAAATCATTCTAATTTGTTGATTTGCTGCTCAAGAAATGTATTTTTATCATTACTGCTGGAAACAGTTGTGGTGCATATATTATGGAAACTTGTTGTTGTATGGTTTTTTAAATGAATACTCTTATGAATAGAAAGTTCAAAAGAACAGCATTTATCTGAAATAAGTTTTGTGTAACAAATGTAAAATTCTGTCACATCTGACCAATTCAATGCATCCCTGCTGAATAGTAGTAATTAAAAAAATAATAAATTACAGACCGCAAGTTTTTGAACGGTACACTCTAAAAAACCGCTGGGTTGTTTCAACCCAATGTTGGGTCAAATATATGGACTAACCCAACTGTTGGGTTAAAAAGCTAATTTAAAAATGTAACCAAAATTTAACCCAACAGTTGGGTTAGTCCATATTTGACCCAACATTGGGTTGAAACAACCCAGCATTTTTTAGAGTGTATTAAATATTATCTAAATATAAAACTAATTTTGTAAAAATGCAAACAATTGTAAAAAAAAAAACATTTTAAAAAATCATTTTGGAAAGAGGAAAATTGTTACTTATGAACAGTGACATGTTCTACATTTAGTTATGATATATATGGCTTTGTGGCCATTTTGTTAATTTCCCTTTGCCAACTCACAACCAGAATGGACAGCAAAAAATATTCATGTTTTGTCTAAATTATGCAAACCCAAATATGTAAAGTCAACCTATAGTCCTACAAAAAAGCAGTGATATGAGGGTGAAATGTCCTGTATGGTTAGCAGTACCCGAGGAACGCTAAAGCCATGCACAGAAGCGAAGCAAAAGAGTGAGGAGGCGCAGTGAAAGAGTGAAAAGGAGTCAAAACAGGAGCAGTGGGGTTCAGGAATACACTGGCACTCAATCGTGTACTGGTAAAGTGTTTTATGCCTTTATTTATTCCCATTTGCAAAAAAAAAAAGTACAAAAAAATTTAAATACACCAAAATAATTAGAAATCAATTAGTTTCAAGACACAATGAGCATTAAAACTATGATACTGCAAATAAATATTAATCTAAGCAGTATTTGTACATGCATACATACATATACATATATATATATATATATATATATGTGACCCTGGACCACAAAACCAGTCATAAGGGTGAGTTTTTCAAAACTGATATTTATACATCATCCGAAAGCTGAATAAATAAGCTTTTCATTGATGTATTGTTTGTTATCATATTTGGCTGAGATACAACTATTTGAATATCTGGAATCTGAGGGTGCAAAAAAATCTATTGAGAAAATCGCCTTTAAATTTGTCTAAATGAAGTTCTTAATGCATATTACTAATCAAAAATTAAGTTTTGATATATTTACAGTAGGAAATTTACAAAATATCTTCATGGAACATGATCTTTACTTAATATCCTAATGATTTCTGGCATAAAAGAAAAATCAATAGTTTTGACCCATACAATGTATTTTTGGCTATTGCTACAAATATACCCCAGTGGCTTAAGACTGGTTTTGTGGTAAAGGGGCACATATATTATATATATATATATATATATTTAGACATACGCACTGAATAAGTCAACAAACATACCAATCTCAGAATTTTTTTTTTTTACACAGTCTAAATAGCTACGTTATTTCCCACAGACGGTTTCTTTTGTACCAAAGAACACCAATGCATGCTGACTTGAGTAAGGCAGGACAGACAGGAGTTCAGAGACGACAAAACAGTGAGGACTGAAGGTCAAAGGTTGAAAACCTGGAGGCTAAACCTTTGGGTTGTGGGGTGAAGTGTTTCATAGCGTAGCATGACTTAGAGGAACACAGCATCAAAAAGCTTGACATAACAGAATGCAGCGTGACATCAGCAGTGACAGCAAGCAAGGACAAGGTGAATGTGGCAACGCCAATGTGCTGGTATGGTACTCTGGCGGTAGGAACTCCACCGTGTGATGACAGAGTACAAGCAAAAGCTAGCATGCTAGTACAGTGTTTTGTTTGTTTTGAAGCCCACATTGAGTCATCTTGAGGTGAGTGCAAGGAAGAGTGCCATGTCAATGTTTAGTCCACTAATTAGGGAATTTTAGTCATTTCAAGGTGTCAAAAATGTGTCTTGCTACAGTCACAGCGCCAGCCTGTGGCAAAATGGTGTTACTACACGTTGTTCTGCAGTGATTTTACCTCCTCCGCATTGTCTTCTGTTGCAGCCTCGTCGTTTTCCAGTTTTGACGTGAGCGAGTTCTGGTTGTTCAAAGACTCGTCCTCTTTAGGGGGACATTTGCATGGCTCTTCTTTGCAAGTGCAATCCTGTGGAGTAACACACATACATACAAGATGACAATGAAGGGAAAAAAGTAACAATGTAACAATGTTCCACCTTTTACACCTGGCATTAAGATCTCAAATGTGTCTCCGGTGACCACTTCCAATGCAATCACACACAAAGCTATCAGTGCATAACGGTCATATGGACTATTTCTGATAGCTGTAGTGCTTTTTGGAGCTTGACAGCCCCCTAATGACCAAGTTTTCAAAAAACAGAGTAAAACACATAAAAAAAAGATTTGGAATAGCATGAGGGAGAGTAAATAATAAAATTTCCATATTTAGGTGAGCCCCTAGTTTTATAGCAATTATGCATTATGCCAGCCAGTCTCTGACTTAAATTGTCTGTTTGGAAGCCCATTTCCAATGCCAAAAAACAAATAAATAATTCATATTAATAATAAAAATCATGCTTTGGTAAATCAATTATGAAAAGTCAAAATAAGTCAATTATGAGATGCCATAATTGACCATCTCAGTTTTGACTGCCATAATTTTGACTTCTGTCATAAGACTTTTGCCAGAATTTTAGCTTTCTCCTAATTGACGTAGAATATACATTTTTTGACCTTTGATTTCATAATTGTCTTGGTCAATAATGATAGTCAAAATGATGCCAAATGTTAAGACTGACATACCAAGTGAATTATGAGATACTAAGTCATAATTATGAGATTAAAAGTCAAAATTGGCATACCATCTCAAGAATGATTTAGTATGTCAGTTTTGACATTTTAATTCATAATTATGACTTATGAACGATTCAAAAATATGCCAAATGTCAAGACTAAAACACCAAGACATAATTATCCATTTGAAAGTCAAAACTGACATACTAAATCAACTGTGAGATAGCATATAAACTTTGACTTTTGATCTCATAATAATTACCTAATATCTCATTATTGACTTGGTGTGTCATTTTTGGCTTTATACACATTTGACTCGCTCATATTTAACACCATAATTCTCTCATAATTAAGTCACAGTTAGGAGATCAAAGGTCAAAAGTCAATTATGAGATTCTTAGTATGTCCACTTAATTTTTTTTCTCATAATGACTTTTGTTATGTGGCGGAAATAGGCTTCCATATGTGAAGATTGAGTGCATTTCCAAGATGCACTGAATGCAGTTTACAGCTCAAGCTGCTTGTCGGATCACCGGATGTTAATACCAGTTGTAAACAAGGCCCAGGAGCACCATACCAGAAACAAAACTGTTCATGAGGTGAGCGCATGGATCTGGATTCAGTTTTTACTTCACAGCTGAGTGGAGTAAATGGTACATTTCAAAGCATAAACTGATCCACAACCAGAAATTTTAAGGGATATCTGCAGTTTTTTCTATTTAGCAAGAGACATCAACACACTATAAGCACAGAGGTTACATAAACTGGATACTATGGCACTAACAGTAAGCCTTGCTTATTCATAAGGCATTAAGCAATACTTGTTAAATTGGTGTTTTCCACACAATGTTTACTGCTGTGAGCCTGTCTTATTTGCTAATGCTAGGCATTACAACAAGTTGCTTAAAAGCAAAGCTTTTTTTAACAACTTGCTACCTGTGATATCCCTTTTTGAAACCACAAAGGCAGTGATTGTACATGCCATGGGGAGGAAAGAAAAGAAGACTATTCATGCTGCTGAAATCAGACATGTGTAAATTACTCATTCTTAAGAGAGAGAAGATGAAAAATGTCATAAATTCTCCCCAGAGGCAATAAAACAAGCCAACAACTCACAAGTAAACAAAGTCACCTAGGGATATTTTCATAGCTCTTTCGTCTCTGGTCTGTCTGTCATCAATCATCCCTCATTTCTTGCCTCATCTCAGTCTTGCTCTATTTCTCCTCCCTGTTGCACTCAAACTCTTTTAATCATAAAAGAGTCTCTTCCACTATGAGATCACTTGGGGAATGGACCGGAGTTGAATGAGGTGAAGAAATTTCATTTGTGCAGGCAATACAACCCCCACATAATCAAAAGATTATCAGAAACTAGACTAGGTTTTAGTTTCACCTCAGAATAAATAAATGGCCAAAATTAAAGTGCTAGAGAACTGGATCTGACAAGTTCAAGGTTCACCAGGTACTGGAGGGTAACAGGTGAAAATAGCAGTAAGACCACTGTTTGGTCCTTCATTAAAGATCAAATGTTATATGCTCATAGGTTGGAGTCTGTTTGTGGAACATTTATTTATGGTAATCTACTCTGAAAGATGACATCCAGATGAGAGCACAGATAAAGAATCTTTTCTCAAACACAAAGTTGAAATGTTCCTCCCCTGTTTCATCCATCTGTTCATATGCTGTCGATGCCATGATAATCAAAGGCAGTTATTTTTGTAAATCACTACTGAGATTAATTAGGGATTCATCAATATTAAGTTTCATTTCCATAAGATGTTAAATATTTCCAGCTTTTATTTCCAATCATTTTACTATATTCTCTAAAACAAATAAATAAACAAATAAATAAAAAAATAGCCCATTACAAACTTAAATAATTTAAAAAAACTACAAATGAATTTATGTATCACACAGGACTTTTCATAATTTCAACTCAATATCATAATTATGACAATTTATCTTATAACATACAGTATAAAAAAAGATTTAAAATATTATATTAGAGATTTTCTATATTTTTTATTATTTGTTTTTAAAGATTAACTTCAAGATTAATTGGGTTTCAGATGATGGCAAAGTTAATCTACATGTAACAGGAAATGCACAATTAAATATTTGATACAAATAGTGTATATATATATATATATATATATATATATATACACACAGTGGTGTGAAAAAGTGTTGGCCCCCTTCCTG